CCCCGCGCCCCGCTCGGCGCGCGCTCCCGCCCCCGCGGCCCCGGCCGGCTGGATCACGTGGCCCGCTGGGCTCCCTCCGCCCCCGCCCCCTCCCCAGTTGTAGAGTGTGTAGAAAGCTAAAGGCTGGGGGCTGGCCGCGCTCGCGAGCCCAGGGCATGCGCGCTGGGGCGGCCGGGCCTGCGCACTGGGGGCGGAGGGGAGCCGGGAGTGGGGAGCGGGGCGGGGGCGTGGAGGGGGCTGCCCGCGTGGGGTCGGCTGCGGCCCGGCAGAGTTGGCGCGCGAGGGTGTGGAAGCCGAGAGGTGATCCTGCCGACCGCACCGCGGACGCGTGCGGGACGCTGTCCCCTGTCTACTCCGCGCTCCCAGGTCCGCGCGCCCCGCAGCCTCTTCGGGACACTTGTCCCTCGACCCCCTACCCCAGGCCCCGGCGGAGGCTCCCGGACAGCCTACTTGGGAGGCTCCCAGAGTATTTTTCTGGGCGACCTACGCAGCGAGGGAAGGGGGAATTTTTGAAAAGGGACACAAGGTGGGGGGGGGGGGCTTCCCCGGGAGGGGGGCACGACTGAAGGCGACAGAAAAGGGAGCGGGTGCCAAAGGGCGGGCCTCGGCCCCGCTGGGAGACCCCGAGAGGCCCTACGGCCGGAGTTGGAAACTTTTCTCCCACGTGGTAACACAACGCGTGACCGAGTGACCCCGCGCCCGTGTGACCTTTGGGCCCTCCTCGCTTTCATGCGGGGGCTCTTGGGACGCGCGGGCGGCTGCGGAGCGGGAAGCGCAAGGCGGTGCGCCCGGGGCCGAACTTGAACCTCGGCAGCCGCCGCGGGCGAGGGGGCGGGGTTGGAAGGGACCGGGCTGCCTCAGCCCGAGGACCCGTTGGACATGCAAAATGCAGCCCCTACCAAGGTCGGCTTCCTTTAGTGGGGGGCGGAGGGGGTTTCTCTTTTTCCTATCACTGCCCCTCCTTTCGCAGAAATGTAGCTGATGCTTATAAAAAGTTGTATTAAAGAGTTGACTGCAGCCCAGAATCGATCAACAAAAGAGACCAGCCTCTCTGGGTAAAATAGCTGTGCGTTTTTCGGGGCACTGGCATTGATCTGTACGGATCAGAAAGACGCCGACAGCTTTCTCACTAACGTGTTAGCTACCCACTTCACTTTGTGTCTGGCACATAAGTAATGTGGCACATCACCCCTTAGCCTCCAGTAGCTTACACTTGGGGAGGAAGAAAAGGAAATAAGCTTACATTGTTAAATTGCTCACAATGGGTCGAGCTTGGTACTAGACGCTTTGCACATCTTTTCTGTTCTTTACTAAATTTTTCCAGTAGTTTTATTAGTACTACTGGAAAGAGGTGGTAAAGAAAATCACATGACAACCTGATGCACCCAAGATTGGTTGATTCATTCATTCATTTCTTCGTTTAACAATCATCGGGGCCTGCTGTGTACCAGGCACGGTTTTACATGCTGGGAACCCAAAACATAGAATGTCCTCCTTGGACCTTACTTTCTGGCAGGCAAGCCTCACTCATCATGACAATTTAATGGTCATTCCCATAAGTCACACCCCTTGGGCATCCCCTTTTCTGGGTCTTTATGAAATGGAGGTGGGGGGCAGGACTGGAGGATGGTGGGAAACAAGTTGCAAGAATAGAGAGGAGCAACCAATGAACTGTGGATAAGACTTGAGCTTTCTGCCTGCCCAGGGAACAGCATTTGACCTTAGGCAAGACTCTTAAATGACTACTTTTCTCATCTGTAAATCAAAGAGTTTCAATTAGATGTTCAAAAAGTTCCCTTCACGGTCTAGCTGAAAGGCCTTCTCAAAAAATATCTTTTTCAAGTAAATGGTGTGCTTTAATTTCTGGAGAGAAGTGGCTGATACATATAGGATCTGATTCAATGTATTAGGAACATGGTTCCACCTTCCAAAATTTCCTACCTAGCATAACTGAGTTTGCTGCCCTCTGGAGCAATTAACTAAAACAGTGCCTCCGTACAGAGTGTAACTTTTGTGTTAACCTTTAGGATGCTGTCCCAGCAACTACTGAAATCCACGCTGAGTTTATCAAGTTGGCTCCTACAAAAAAAGGGCAGGTCTTTGTCATTAAAGGAAGGATCTGGGTTCATTTTTAGTGTTTTTAGGAATATGGAAGATGTTTTAGATACTGATAGTTTTCATTGAAAACTAAGAACTTGCAATTACAGTCACTTTTCACGACTTTGGGGGTTGGGTTGAGGAAGGTGTGAAATTGCCAAATATAATAAAAAGTATAATATTAGTGACTTTCCAGAGTAGCCCTTGGCAGTCCTGTCTTTAAAGAGTAATGTCTGGTAGGGAAAAAAAAATGGATGGTAATGCACTGCATCCAAGAACCTTGCCTCTGGCAAGAGTAATTTGCAAATGCATTTTGGGATAATGTTTAAATGATTTTTTTTCAGGGTCCAAGTGCAATGCTCACTGGAATTGGTAATGCCTTTTGGGTCAGAGTTTCAATTTTCTTCCATCAGAGAATTAAAATTGTTTGTGGATTATGTTGCTCATATCTGTTTCTAATTCTCCATATCATCTATGTTGTAAGAGCAACATGATTAATGTTGTAATGATTAATAACCACCGTATAATAAGCTAAGTGCTTACTGTTTGCCAGGCACTGTTCTAAGTTATAATATCTCATTTAATTCTCACGAATTTTGAGAAAGGTTTTGCTATACCTATTTTACAGTTGAGTACATTGAGGCTTAAGAAGGGTAAGCATAGGTAGCAGAGCTTTTTCAAGGTAAGCTGAATCTGGTGTGGGTGACTCCATAACCTGTTCTCTAAATGGTTATGCTGAAATGCCTTCCTCAGAATGATTCCTCAAGAAATCAAATGCTGTGTATATAGTTCTTTGGAAAACTGGCAATATCTACTCAAGTTGAGCATATGAACACTGTATGGCCCACTAATTCCTTTCCTTGGAGTATACCCATGTCAAATGTATATATCAAAACATATCTATACAACAGCTCAGAGCGTTATAGTAACCCCCAAACTGGAAACGACCCAAATGTTCACTGGCAGTAAAATAGGTAAATAATGGGTGATGTATTGACATAATAGAATACCGTACATCACTGAGAATGAACAATTTACTTCCAAATGCAGTAACATACATGCAGCTCATAAATATAATGCTGAGTGAAAGAACAAGACGCACAAGAGTATGTGTTGTGCAACAACAGGCAGAACTCATTTATGCTGTAAAAGTTAGGACAGTGGTTACCTTTGAAGGGAGTCTAATGACTGGGACAGGGCATATATAGGGCTTCTGAGGAGTTGATCATGTTCTGTTTCTTGGGGTTGGTGCTGGTTGCACATGTGTTCGGTCTGTAAAAAACCATCAAGCTGTACTATGATATATGCACTTCTCTGTACATATACTATACTTCAAAAAATATAAAATGCTATGGGTAAGTGTGGGGGGTATTGCTTGTATACACAGAAGTATTTAGAGAATATTTTTTCGTGCATTAATGACACTATCCAAATGCTCATCAACAGTAAAATGGATAAACAAGCGATGGTTTATTCACACAATACTACACAGTGTGAACACACAATGGAACACTGTATAGTAAATGAAAATAAACCATAATGTATCATCAGATTTCTTACTGGGCAAAATGAAAGATAAAGCTTTAAACTTGTAATGGGCAGTTTGAATGAGCTCATGATTCATATCAGCAAAAGCTTAGGTGAATTCTTTGCCAAAAGATTGTAGTTGATAAAGAGGAAAGCTAAAGAAATAATTCCATAAGAGGTTGCTTGTTTAGTAGGGAAGACACTCAAGTGGTTCTGGAAAACACAAAGGGAAAAACTTACATGTGTGTTCCGGAATAAAATCCTTAACGCACGAGAGCCTCTCCAGTTGTGCAATCTTTTATTTGAAACAATGATTAATACTCAAACTATATCTTGAACATTCAACCTTGACTAGTCAGAGAATACTATTCTAGCTTGATGACTGAGCTAAACTCTGAGCATTCCATGCAGCGAGAGATATTTTTGGTACCGGATTTTCTAAATTACTAAATTTTTATATCCCTCTGATGTCTTGCACTTTGCACTCTGCCAACACGGCAATTATGAATACATCCTTCTTGATATTACATACTAGTACATAATATTTGAATTTAATTTATTAGTAAGATTGATTTTTAACTCAAGGCAGCTTAAGGTTTATGTTTTAGTCGTTTATAACTTTCAGTTATTTTGCACGTGAATCTGCCCTGAGACAAGGTACAGAGCTGGTTAATGGATCTATCTTTATGCCATTTCCAAATGAGCAAACAAGGAGAATAACACATTTACTATCCCTTCTTTAACCCTCATAAGTTGTTTTTAGTAATAAGTATTCCTGGGGAGAAGTGATAGCTTGCATTAACTGACAGCCCATCAGCGAGAACATTGTTGTAAGTTTGCCCTAATTATCACCTGCTGTTTTAATTTTTTTTCTGCATTGGAAGTTGTTTTTCAAACTGCAGTTTTAATGTTCAAAAACAGTGAGGGGATGAAATGTGTGGTTCAACTTGCTGAATGTTGTGCTGCTTTCCATAATATTGTACAGTAAACATTGGTCCTCTCTACAGGTGCCTGTGATGAATGACACATCGATCAACCCATAGTCTTCAGACATTGCCGTGTGAAGCCAATGAAAGATGTCTGCTGGTAACCAAATGATGATCTTATGAAAAGGTAGTTCTGACAACTTTTTTTAACATTTATTTATTTTGGGGAGAGTTCAAGAGGGGGAGTGGCAGAGAGAGAGAGAGCATCCAAAGCAGGCTCTGCACTGACAGGCTGACAGCAGGGAGCCCAATGTGGGGCTTGAACTCACAAACCATGAGATCATGACCTCAGCCAAAGTCAGACCCTCAACCGACTAAGCCATCCAGGTGCCCTAGTTCTGACAAATTTTAATGAACGTTAGATTTTCACAAAATTAATCAGTCTTCCTGTCCCTTTTCAGGGCAATGGCTCTACTTGACGTGGTCAGATGGGGAAATTGATGGATAATCACAAGAAAAAACTTTAAATGAATGTAAAAAATTTTTTCAATGTTTACTTATTTATTTTGAGAGAGAGAGAGTGCATAAGCAGGGGAGGGGCAGAGAGAGAAACAGAGAGAGAGAGAATCCCAAGCAGGCTCTGCACAGTCAGCCCCAAGCCTGACATGAGGCTCGAACTCACAAACCACAGGATCATGACCTGAGCCGAAATCAAGAGTCAGACGCTTAACCAACTGAGCCACCAAGGTGCCCCTAAGTGACTTTTTAAAGGTACTAATGGAAGATCTCTGTATTTATTACAAATCATAACCCTGAGGAACAATTTCTATATTGGATTTGGTAGATGACTTGTGATGAATTGTGATTTTTTTGTTTTCATTTTTTTTAAGTTTACTTATTTATTTTGAGAGAGAAAAAGAGAGGGCACGAGCAAGTGAGGGGCAGAGAGAAGGAGAGACAGAATCCCAAGCAGTCTCATGCCATCAGAGCAGAGACCAATGCAGGACTTGAACTCATGAACTGTGAGATCATGACCTGAGCTTACCCAACCAAGCCACCCAGGCACCCCGTGTTTTCCTTTTTTTAAGTAGGCTCCACACCCAAGTCATGGGGCTTGAACTCACGACCCTGAGATCAAGAGTCAGATGCTCTAATGACTGAGCCACCTAGGCACCCTGTTTTCATTTTTATTTGAAGAACAATGAAGATCTAAAATGACCAGATTCAGAATAGAGAACATCCTGGTTGAAAAATTATCAATCCTTTGGAATTGCATGAAGAATATAATAAATTATAGCCCAGACCTAATTGCAACCTTCTATTTATAAAACATAATAATTATCGGGGTGTCTGGCTGGCTCAGTCAGATGAGTGTGTAACTCTTGATCTCAGGGTCATGAGTTCGAGCCCTGTGGGTGTAGAGATCACTTAAATAAAACTTAAAAAAAAACACAAGTAATAAGATAGAACATAACAGTTATTTTACATTTCTGTGTTCAAGGCCTTTTGTGGTCTGGTCCCAGTTATGTCATCAACGTCCTTTCCTACAGCATATTTCTACGCATCCTAAGCTAAGCTCTTGCCTGGAAGACTTGCATGCCATTGCCCATGCTAGTGCATCAGCCCAGAATCTCTTTCCTGCCATCCGAACTCATTGAATATCTCCTTACCCATCAAGAGCCATTCATCCATCAAAACCAACTCATCCAAAGAACTTACTCCAATCACTACTTCCATTCAGAATTAACAGTCTCTTCTCTACTTACATGGTATTTTAATTTCTGTATATTTTAAATATTATTATAGATTTCAGATTAATATAGTGAACAATCATGCAGTCTCTCAGTAGCTTAAGAAATAGAACATTTCCAGGGTGCCTGGGTGGCTCAGTCAGCTAAGCATCTGACTTCAGCTCAGGTTATGATCTCATAGTTCCTGACTTTGAGCCCCACATCAGGCTCTGCGCTGACAGCTCAGAGCTTGGAGCCTGCTTTTGATTGTGTGTGTGTATGACTATCTCTGCCTTTTCCCTACTTGTGTTCTCTCTGTCTCTCTGTCTGTCTGTCTGTCTGTCTCTCTCTCTCTCTCTCTCACAAAAATAAATAAATAAACAACAAAAAAAAAAGAGGGGCGCCTGGGTTGGCTCAGTTGTTTAAGTGTCTGACTTTGACTCGGGTCATTATCTCATGGTTCCTGGGCCTGAGCCCCATGTCAGGCTCTGTGCTGACAGCTCAGAGCGTAGAGCCTGCTTCGGATTCTGTGTCTCCCTCTCTCTCTGCCCCTCCCCCTGCTCATACTCTGTCTCTTTCTCTCTCTCTAAAAAATAAAATAAAATATTTAACAGTCTGTTTTCTGTTTTGTCTCTTTTTTTCTCCTTTGGTTGTTTTGTTTCTTAAATTCCACGTATGAGGAAATCATATGATATTTGTCTTTTTCTCTGACGGACTTATTACACTTAGAGTTATATACTCTAGATCCATCCAGGTCACTAAAAATGGTAAGATTTCATTCTTTTTAATGGCTGACTAATATTCCACGTCTTCTTTTTCCATTCCTCTATCAGTGGACACCTGGGCTGCTCCCCTAAGTTGGCTCTTGTAAATAATGCTGCAGTAAACATAGGGGTGCTTATATCTCTTTGAATTAGTGTTTTTGAATTCTTTGAGTAAATACCCAGGAGTGCAATAACTAGATCATAGGGTAGTTCTGTTTTTAAATTTTTTTTTAACGTTTTATTTATTTTTGAGACAGGGAGAGACAGAGCGTGAACAGGGGAGGGTCAGAGAGAGGGAGACAGAATCTGAAACAGGCTCCAGGCTCTGAGCTGTCAGCACAGAGCCCGACGCAGGGCTCGAACTCACGGCCCGTGAGATCATGACCTGAGCCGAAGTCGGCCGCTTAACCGACTGAGCCACCCAGGCACCCCGGGTAGTTCTGTTTTTAATTTTTTGTGTTCCATTTTGTCTTCCACGGTAGCTGCACCAGTTTTGTTCCCACCAACAGTGCACAAGGGTTCCTTTTTCTCTACTTCCTTGCCAATACCCATTGTTCCTTGAGCTTTTGATTTTGGCCATTCTGACAGGTATGAGGTAATATCTCATTGTTGTTTTGATTTGCATTTCCCTGATGATGAGTGATGTTGAACATCTTTTCATGTATCTGTGGGCCATCTGGATGTTTTTGAAGAAATGTCTGTTTATGTCTTCTGACCATTTTTTTAATTGGATTATTTGTTTTTTGGGTGTTGAGTTGTGGAAGTTCTTTATACATTTTGGATACTAACCCTTTAATCGGATATGTCATTTGCAAATATCTTCTCCCTTCAGGAGGTTGTCTTTTAGTTTTGTTGGTTGTTTTTTGGTTTTTTGTTTTGTTTTGTTTTGTTTTTGTTTTTGTTTTTTTTTTTGCTGTGCAGAAGCTTTTAATTTTGATGGGGTCCCAATAGTTTATTTTTGCTTTTGTTTCTCTTGCCTGAGAGACATGTCTAGAATGATGTTACAAGTGGCTTGTAGTTTTTTTGTCATTGTAAATAACACAGGTGCACAAGGAGACAGGACCTCCTTTTCTTACAACACTGTTATAGAACTTATTCTTTTATTATTTCGTTATTATATACACATCCTGTGACTTTTTCTTATCACTTGGTAAACTCTATAGGATAGGGACTGGGTAGGAAGTAGCAGGTAATCAATAAATTTAAGTGGTTTGATGATTTATCCTTCCCGTATTTGAGTTTAGATTTTGTAGTCTTGGGCTGTTGTGTCTTGCAGTACAGATGAAGACTTGAATTTTTGGATTTTCATGTATCTACTTCAGAAATCCTAAAATGAAGCCTCAAAGGACAGTTGATTTGGCCATACTTAGTATTAAAATGGACTCCTACCAAGCATCTGTGTTTAAAAATGAGTTGGTAGCATTTCTGAACTTCTCAGTGCCTCTCTCAATTTTGGAACACAGGAGAGTTTCCTATGAAGTATGATTATCAGTGATCTCATTTTTTTTCAAGTGCCTTTTTCCTTTTGAAAGATCCTAAAAAAAGGAAAATCTTCATGTATGATAAAAATTTCTTGATATTTAGAACAAACAAATAAACATACTGTTTCAACTATTCAAATAAAGAATGTCACCCAGTTTCTAGGATGGGCTCATATTACCAGGATTTTTCATGAAACAGTTACTTAAGTAGCAGGGTAATTGATAAGAAACTAGTTATTAGAAGAAAATATTGATATTTTAAACTGTTTATATGTTATCAATATAATTTTACCATAGGTTTTATTTCTTTAATTTAAAAAATGAGTATTGGGGCGCCTGGGTGGCGTAGTCGGTTAAGCGTCCGACTTCAGCCAGGTCACGATCTCGCGGTCCGGGAGTTCGAGCCCCGCGTCGGGCTCTGGGCTGATGGCTCAGAGCCTGGAGCCTGTTTCCGATTCTGTGTCTCCCTCTCTCTCTGCCCCTCGCCCGTTCATGCTCTGTCTCTCTCTGTCCCAAAAATAAATAAACGTTGAAAAAAAAATTAAAAAAAAAATAAAAATAAAAAAAATAAAAAATGAGTATTACATACACAAAGATACTTACAGCCTTATCATTTATAATAGGGGAGAAAAAAATAAAAACAACAAATGTCCTGCAATGAAACAAATGAAATGTCCTATATTTAAGTACTTTATAACATGGAATTTTATGAATTTATTAAAATCCATATTGTAAGGATATCAATTTTATTAACTAATAACAGAATTGCACACACCTTGTGACAACAATTGTTTTTAAAACTGCTATATAGTCTGTATAAAGTTTAGAAGGAACACAACAACATATACTGTTGCTTTATTTTAGTAGTAATATAGATGGAAATTTCTTTTTAAATTGCTTTTCTATATGTTAAATTTTATTATAAATAAAACTTTGTGAGTATCATATCTCTTTTCAAATAAGATGTGGATATGAGGTGACTGACCTGGCTTGCCCAGAATCAAAGGGTTTCTCAAGATAGAGGACATTCAGTGCCAAAACTTGGACCATTTTCCATGAACTGGGACAGTTGTTCACCCTACAATGTGTCTTTGATTGGTAGGAGGAGGTAGGAAGAAATCAGAATTTAATTTCAATTGTCAGGATATAAACTGGATATCGTTTTGATCACTAACTAGAAATTATTTATATTTGAGACTCTACTCTTCCCTA